TAGCCATGCAAAGTGTACTAAACCAGACAGCAAATTGCAGAGGGGAGCTGTTATCTCAGCCATTTGGGGAATAAATTTCCTGAGATGGTTGAATAGGTTCTGACAACTGTGGTGACCTCTGTGGTGTCCATTGTACGGCCGAAACCGATTGTTTTGGCCTCGGCGGCCTCTGCCTCGATAGCCCAGGCGTTCTGTCACAGAACCTTTTTGGTCCCTGTTGTACTCTAGTGTCTCCACTTTAGTGAGAGAAGTGGAGGGTTTTCTCCGTTTGTCAGCATCTGCCTCTTTGCACATTTCTGTTACATCAAACAGTGACAGACTTTGTTGCTTCCGCCGGAGTTGATCTTTTAACTCAGGGTCATTAGTTCCCCTAATGATTCGATGTTTTAACAAGCTATCTTCAGTGTCCCCATACTCACAGTCACGGATGAGGATCTTGAGCTCAGTGAGCCAGTTTGCAAAAGGCTCATTCGGGCCTTGATTGCGTTCGTCGAACGCATCTCGACAGAAGAGAAGATTTTTCCTCTGCTCTGCTTCACAGCCTTTCACAGGTGGCTAGTCAGACTCCACATTATTCTCACACCCCTGGTGTTTATGGAGCAAGCGGCGTTCATGGTTACCCTAACACTGTAAGCATCCTAATCAGTATCATTTAATTAATCAATCTGCTCCAATCAGGCTGATATGTAGCGAAACCCGATTTTGATTTTCTTTAGACCTTTCTTTGACATTATATATGATAAGAATGATACATACTCTGTATGACTACTACAGCCTCCGGTGAGAGAATATCCTTGAGTTGTCCTGAAAATAAGAACCCGCAGATTTTTAACATCCTCAGAATGATGCTGATTAATTTTGTTGTGTAAACTGAACCACTAATAGAATGCATTTTTGCAATGACTTGGTTTCATTTAGACCAGATGGATGGCTAGAAGCTTTATCTCCAAAACGATGAGTAATAAAACAGCCATTACCCATTGAAAATCAAATCGACATTCTGGATGCGAAGGGATGAAATAATGAGGTCCGAACACAGTGGTGGTCAGTGTAGCAAGAGAGTCTTTATTGGTTCCAAGGTAGCAGGTAAGGTTCGGTAGGCGACAGTGGCGCCATCGGTCGGCGGGTTAAGGAAGCTGCGTAGTAGACGATGCAGACAAGAGCAGTGCTGCCACGCCTACCACGACATCTCCCCCCTCTTCCTCTAACGAGATAGGTAACTCTGGCTCTGTGACGAGGTTGACTGCATCGACTCGACGTCTGATATGAGAAACTTGCACTGGTAAACATCCAGTATTGTTCTGCTAGGCCCGTGAGGCAGCAGCGTCAGAGATAGTTTGTTCAGTCTGTCTCTACTATTGAAATTAATGGAACAATCAACATTTTGTCAGTTGGC